TCATGGCTTCTGTTGTGTTGACATGCTGTTCTTTGAATTTGTTCTAATTTGAGGATATCTGTCAGTTTTTGTGTGTTCCACGGTTCGGCGGCATTGTTCATAAGTCATGTATGCTCTTTTGTCAAAGGTGAGACCTAGATACCTCACCTCTGTGGCAATGTTTAACATTGTGTTTAGGAGTTCTGGAGGTTTTAATTCCATTTTTATTTAATTTTGTCATCGTCTACAATGTGTTTGGCAGTTTGATAGAGACTTAACTAATAGCTAATTTAACTAGATATTTACCTGACAAAAGCTATATTTGTTATTTATTCAATTACTTTGTAAATTCATATATCATTGTGGGAAAGCTGTGAAGATGGCTGTTTAGTCGAAAGAGTTCACCGAAATTTATTTATATAAAAAAATTTAATAATTGATTAACATTAGTTTTTAACATTGTAAAGCCGCTCTTAGTTCGACTATTTCCGTTTTCAGGAAAATAAACGATATAATGTCACTAATTAACCAACAGATTAATACTTAAAGTAAATACAACAATAAAATCCTATACATATAGCCTATATTGTCAATGTCAAACTGTCAAAAATTTTAACCTGTAGTAAATTGGTTAGGTGAAGCATAGCGATTAACACTCGTATATGTATTGCAACATAAAAAATTACCTACTTATTTCATACAGTTTTATAATAATTCCAATGCAGTTTTCCATCAGTAAAATGTAGTCGGATTGGAAAGCGATAGTTGATGAATTAATTAGAACCAACGTATCTAATAATTATCATTCGAAATAATAATTAATATTAAACGGCAGAAATAGAAAATTATCGTCAAAAAAATGGCAAAAATAATGAACCAATTTCCAATCGTTGCGTGATTAGTGATTAGACCCGCATTGAAGGTTGTCAAACCCAGTTAGAAATATATATAATTTTTTTTTAAATCAAACTCTCACTTGCGCTTCGTAAGGAAAGTGTTATGATGACATTACGTAAAATTATTATCATCATATCAATAGTTGCATACTTGTAATAGTAATAGGCACCATTTTCAGACCTCCGGCACTACCGGATCCCTCACATTGGAATTTAGATTAGATATTTTATTATATAATATGGTTTACTTTTCATACTACTCATACTCCCTTATATACTTAGTCAATATTATTACCTTTATGTGATACAGTTTATCTAATAAACAATTGTTTAGGTACTAACACAATGAAAAGCTAGAATTCAGACTTATAATGCTTCGTATTATACAGGGTGGGCCAACGAAAACTATCCACCTCAATTTTCCGGCTTTAAAATGAAAATCGGGAGAAAAGCTCTAACCCGTCGATTTTTGTTTTGAAAGGGAACAACTTGTTTGATTTTTTCATCCATCTAACTTCAACCCTCTAACAGGGGGAAGCACAACCACCTGATTTTGAATAAGGGTGAGGGGTGTTGTAATACCTCATGTTGAAGACCTCATCGAGTACTATCTGACACTAAAATTTCGCGTCAAAATTTTTATCGATAACAGCTAAAACAGTGAAAGAGATAATATGGAAAAAATGTCAACTTAATAACAAACAAAAAGAATACTTACTTCTGTGATTACTTTATTAAATGCTGATGGAAATAGCCACCATTCACTTCCATGCAGTAAAATAAGTTTTGTTCAGAACGATCCCGTACATTACGCAACATGTCGGGTGTAATTTTACGACATTCATTAATTATACGATTATGCAAATCATCTAGTGATTTGGACTAGGTAGCGTAAATCTTAGATTTTAGATGACTCCATAGAAAAAAGTCCAATGGATTCAGAATAGGTGACCATCCAGGTCACCTGAGAGGCTATCCAGGCCACTTAATTTGCCCCCTTCCTCAAATCCAGCTTTGAGGAAAATTCTCATTCAAAAATTGAAGGACAGGTTATACGAAATGAGGTGGTGCGCCATATTGTTGAAAAATGATGGTATGATGGTCTTCTTAATTTTCCAATACTTGCACTAGGGCTGGATAAATAGCGTTCTCTAATAATTCCAGATACACTTCGCCATTGAGATTACCGGGTATAAAAAAAGGGATTGATTATGTGATTTCCATAAATACCCGCCCAAATATTTAGTTTTTGGGGATGCTAAGCATGTACTTCATGAAATACTCTTGGATTTTCATCTGGCCAATACCGACAGTTATGCATATTTACAAATGCCGTTACTTGTAATTTTGATTATTGTTAATTTTTGACTGACCACCTCACAGAACTAGAGTCGGCGATCGAAATCATCCTCATTTAGTTCCTGAACCAATCGTATCTTAAAAGGATGAAACTTATGTCGTTTAAGGGTTCTCCTGGTTGTCGTGCGTGATACACCAAATACGTCGGACAATTTCCTAGTACTAAGGGTCAGCATCATTGTTACATGACCTAAAACAGCCGCTTCCCTCGCTTCGTCTCTTTCATAAACTTCATTTTATTTTCGACTGAACCAGTGGCATCAAATTTAGAAACCAGTTGCTAAACGTAAGCAGCGGAGATTTTTTTTCAGGATGACGTTCGTTAAATAAAGTCGCTGTTACTCGCGCAGAGTCGTTATTTCTAATAAACAATTTAATAATTTCCGCGCCCTTTCCCCCACGGAATACACCATTTTAATTCTACTAAAAAATATCAATTGAGTAGACACGGTGGCAACGTTCTTAAAAATGAACTGAAATAAATCGAGTAAACATTGCGTTTATGAAACAAAAAATATTTTTTCTTTACAAAAAATATACACATAAATAAATACTTCTCAAATACTAGTCTGATAAAAATAATTATCCTATCGAGCTTTTTTCCGATTTTCGTTTTAAAGCCGAAAAATAAGGGTGTAAAGTTTTCGTTGGCCCACCCTGTATATTATACTCTTTACAGTTTAACAGACCCAACCTTAACCCCATCTTCAATAAAAAATAAATCCAGAATCAATTCGTGTCATCCTCTTTTCCTGAAGATTTTAATTTGATATCGTTTTTTTTTATAGACAGGATTTTTTTTAAATATTTCAACCCCTCTTATCCTCCAATTTAGATTAAGATTTTTCAGAATCAATAGGCTTAATTCCCTTATAGAGATTGATTTTTACCAAAAATTTCATGTTGATATCGTTTTTGGTGTTTGATTTCAATTTTTTTATTTCAGCCTCCATTAACCCCCCATTTTGTTCACAAATTTTCAACCCCCCTTATACCCTCCATTTTCATTAGGATTTTTTTCAAATTTAAAGAGATTTCTCACCAAAAGAGAGCTTGATTTTTGCTAAATATTTCAAGTTGATATCATTCTTCGTTTTTGAGATAGGAATTTTTGTAATGTTTCAACCCCCCAGAACCTCCCATTTATATTCAATTTTTTTTTAATTTATCATGCGAACAAAAAACGTGACCACGGACGGATCGACGGACGGACGAAGCGAATGCAAAATACTCTTCACATACTACTGTGTGAAGAGTTTAATAAAAAGAAATCAAAATTAAGAGAAAAAACAAAAATCTATAAGCAGTGTCAGAAAATATTTTCAGCGACCGTTTCCCTCCGGAAAACAACTCCTTCTTTGTTAATACCACAATTGGCATTGAATTATATCTAAATAAAAAAAGCAGAGATAGAATAGCTATTTACGTAACTAGTTACAAAATGCCTTATTTTCGGGTGACTTTCTTGTTAAAGCTAGTTACTTTTTAAAAAGTTGGTTATTTTTTTCGTGTATTGATTGAAACAGTGACTTGATTATTTTGTGCATATCTAGGATGAAAAATAGGTACCGAAACAGAACTATTACTAATTATAAGTTCACTAACAAAATCGATTTTTATATAGCCAATCTGACTTCGTTAGATAACAACTTTTAAAATCAATGTATATTGTAAATTATTCACAGTTCTATCCTGGACAAGATATAACTAGTGCAAGGACTTTGACTCCGTTGGCTTCCTACAAAAATTTAAAAAAACCAATACCGATGTATATTTTAAAAGCAAAAAGAATCTGCTTCGCTTATTTCTTCTTCTACCTTTCAACACCTGTTCTATTTCCTGCCTTTCCTTACCACCAATTCTCCTGCCTGCTTCTGTAAGTCCTGCCTGCTTCGGTAACTCCTGATTTTTATATCTCTTGTTCTTCTGTTCCTACACCGTTTTTTTTTATCAAAATACTCCTTTTTTACCTCATTCTTGTTTTATCTATATTTAAAATTTTCTTTATACTTTTTTATTTATCTCTTTATAACTTTACTCGACCTCTAACATATTTCCATTTTATAATATCTAACATACTGCCCATTATTATCTTTCTTAAACATGTAAATGCCAATCACAATCCTAAAACCCTGTGACAATTCTAAAATCTCTTAATTTTTTTTAAATCGTGTTACCATTGACGTCAGAACCCTAATGCCAATTGCTGCGTTTGAAAATCCACATCCGATGTATTGTTTACATCTCGAGCGTTTGTTTATCTACATCGGACACATCTTCGCTTTCAATCTCTATTGGAAGCTATAAGAGGCGCAAAACTCACTTGCATACCTTCATTAGGAAGTTAGAAATAGCGCCATGTACAAGTCGAAGCTCACTTGTAGTACCCAGTTCAAAAATTAGGTGAAATAAAAGCCAGCCGAGCAATTATTAAAAAGGAAAATAATTCCAAACTCATAAGTTTCTTTGTATATGATCCATAACCTGTTGTGGTATTAGCCAAGGGAGTAATTATTTTCCTTTTTAATAAAAACTTAATTCGAGTTAATTTTTCGTTAAAAATTAGCATTGCTCACAGAACCAAAGTGAGCTACGACAGTTAAAGTGTTAAAATGACCTGTTACCACCTATAAACAAAATCTAATCTCTTTTAGTTATTTTTTTACGATTGAAGATATTTTTTGTTTAAATTGCTTTTTTATGTTCTTTTAATACGTTTATTGGTCAACATTTGTATTAACAATTAATTTTTTTATTTGATTTCAGGTGCAACAAAGCAGATACTTTACGCCTTGTAGGAAATAATGTAAATGATGCACTGTTCGAAAAAATAGCAGAAACTAGAATGATTAGATATAAAGTAAGTTATTATCTTTTAAAAAAAAAAACAGGTTCTTCTTAAACAAATTCGTATACAGGGTATAAAGTTGTTTTATGAGTTGTATCTTTTTTAAATAGTACAGAATTTCACAAAATCAACAAATTTTTCATGTAATTTTTTTCATAAAGTCAAAAATTATATAGATTATGACCACTACGACTTTAGTTTGTTTAGAAATTATCAACTTACCTTCTCAGCACGAAAATTGTTATTGAGCGTTTTTAATAGGTTAACACAATTCTAGTTTATTTGTTCAGCGTCTTTTAAGAGTGATTTGAGGATTTTTCTTTTGCTGTGATTTTACACGTTTATTATTGTTTATTTGCAAATATTTTTTTAAAAAAACGTTCATTTACGGGGGTTCCAGTGGTATATTTGAAAAATACTCTTCTTCCTAAAGCATAACATGTAAGTTTTGTAAAAAAATTGTATTTTTAAGAAAAAGGCGTCTTCGCAATATTTACCTTGGTCTGATTTTTGCTAAATAAAATGGCCGGTTAATTATTCTATGGGGTTGCGACAGAGAACCTGTAAATTTGATGAAGGTGTCACTGTAGCTAGGGGTGAAATAGTAGTAAACTTAAGTTTTAGCAACACCATAAAAAAGTAATTTTTAAGAGACTGCTTATATATTTTTCATACATTGGCAGGCTTGGCGTCTACTATTTCAAATAAAAATAGCCTCCAAAATGGCTATGGTCGCAACCCCCGTAAGAAATCTCAACTTACCAATCAACAGCTGTTGTTTGACAGGTCGTTGGAGTGCCTAACATTGGAATGTTTGCAATGTATAGAATGTTAGAAATGTTAGAAATATGGCCGCTCGCAAACGACCCGCTTTGAGCAATCTATATAACTATATATGTATCATTTACCCTATCAACGACAATAGGCCCACAAGGTTGCTTTATCCAAACTGTCAGTTCTCATTTTGACAGGTCGTTGGAATGCCTATTTAGAAAGGAGACAACAGCTAATTTAAGTGGGGAGGGTTTGTGCAAGTATATTTATATAGGGAAGGGAGCATGCGTTTTATAAATGAATTAGTGTTTACATTTACTACGCTTGCTTTACACTGATGTCACACTTCAAAATTAATTGCATACTTTCCTGAAAATTATATTCTAAATTGATAATAACTGGCATTAGGAATGCAAATATACTTCCCTAATGTAATTTTGAAAGCTTTTTTTGCTCTTTAGAGCCTTATATATAATCAATACCGAATTATAACCATAAATAATCCTTGTAAAAATACTCTCGCATAATAATTTTAAAACTACATGGATGACACCGTATATGTTTTCAAATCGATTTTTGTAAACCAAATTAAGTCTAGTAGTTTTTCGGCGTTGGTTAAATTACATATAACAGTGTTGCCAAATATAATTTTTCCAAATAATTTCTGTTTAATTTTCTTTTTATAATGAAAACCGGGAACTTCAAAATAATGTTCTAAGTGGTGCATATTGCAAGAATTGTTATATAATGTTCCATCTAAAGGCGGAAGGTACCATTTAAAAATGTGATATTTTGGTAAAAACAAATTTTTGAAATTAATTTTTGTATCTGAATGATTTATTTTCAAGTCAGTTGGTAAAATAGCCTTTTTTCGAGTTATTCGAGGCTATTATAACATTATTTTTCAGTTCATAGCCTAACTACCCCAAAGAAATATACTGAAAGCCAGAGTCGCATAAAAACAAGCGACCGTTTCCCCCTGGAAAACAACTACTCATTGTGTTGTTTTTTTGATTTATTGTTTTCACTTTTTTTATCGTTAAAACTGATTTACATCTATCCAAATAAATAAATAATAACACTAAAAACTCAACTTTTGAAACACCTTGTGTACCTACAGTATATAATCTTTAAGATAGTAAGTAGTATCATCATCAATAAAAATAGTCTGTCTACACTTCTATTTAAACAAGTAATATCGGTAAAATAAACAAGTACAACATAGAAGCCTTGATGTAGATCCTTGAGGAACCGCACTTTCTTTCCGTTTGTGCTATTGGTTTAATAAGTTTAGAAAATATTGATTTTACTAAAAATTGTGATTCCGATATTGGCAATTGAAAAATGTTTCGCGTCTTCAGTGGAATGTTAAAAAGTGACATGTTAAGTTAATACCTACTCTCAGTCAATTTCCCTACGTGACACGTACATAAAATATCATTTAAATAATAAAAATGTGGGTTAAGCTAACTACTAACACCTCACGAATGCCGACATCAGACATCAGTCATGGAGACTGAAAACGGAATGAAGTGAAACCGAAATGGACAATATTTGAATAATTTATTGGTCAATTTTATTGCCCAACAGATGGACGACTGATGCACGCACTGAATTCTGAATTATTCAGAAAAAGTGGTCTAATAAAATGAAAAGTATTTAAATTTTTTTTAATTGCTCGATTTTTATACTTATCACATTTTATCATCAAGATATGAGGTTTTTTTAATTTTGGAAAGTTTTTATTGCGGGGGATTCTAAAATTAAATACGATAAATTTAGAAGGCTGCTTTATTTACAAATTTTAAACGATACGGCGTTTTACAATATATCCATGGTGTAACTATAATGTGTTTTAACTCTCCAAAATAATTACTAAATTTGATCAGGATAGGAATAAAAATCAGCTAGGTTCCCTAAAAAATTTACGGACCAAAAATTGACGATTCGTTTTTAATCTGTCAGAAATGCATAAACGAAAATAAAAATACTCAAATTCAGTATCTACCATCAAATGTGTTTTATTGTTTCAAATGTAAAAGAAGACTATCGGTTTCCCCCCAAGGGCCATCATCAGGCCCTAACACAAGGAAACAGTCAAAACTTAGATTAAAGACAAGGAAAATATAACATATACCTCTGTATATACGTGCAGAAACAGGTATAAAATAAGGTCGTCTTAATAATGGGAGAAAATTAAATAAAAATAAAGATAATTATAAATTGAAATAAGTAAGGTGCAGATACTAAATGCAGCTATTACATATAATAGGGCAGACCGCAATGGGATTTACTCGAGTGTTTTGAAGACCTATTAGATTTCTGAAAATTAGATGATAGAAAAAAAAAGTTGTATGATGTATAACCTTTCACCGGTGGAGGGAGGGACTACAGATTTTCAAAAATATAATAGTAATTTTTTTAAGACAAGGATTCCAGAGCGTAATACATCCCGAACCATTAATAGAGCGATCCCATAAAACTTGCGTAAAAGTCATTACTAAATAAATGATAATGTGGAAGTCCCAATTTAACACAACTTTTTGCTGTAAATGAGATTATGAATGTAAGATTCTTCAAAGATTGAACACTAATAACAGTGTTTTACTGGTCGATGGCCATCAACTAGAAAAAGTCTGCAATAACATAACGATATATTTGAGATTGAATGAAACATTCATTTCTAATTTAACAATTTTCTTCTGCCGATAAATGGAGTTTAGTAGAACGATAGATATTTAATAACATAACACAATAAATGGATCGAGATTATCTTGTATTTTGATGTGAATAGTTTTTCTGCTAGTAAAATTTATTGAAAAAATACTAAAGAAGATTGTCTTGAATATTAAAATATAGATACTTGGAGGTTTTATTGAGGCAAGCAGTACCTGTATTCAAATATTTTCAGAAATCTCATGCGCGCAATGTTACTATATGTCTCCTATTTTAAGCACATCCTATTAAAATATATCAATCAACCACCATTTTGTAGCGTCTTATTATAATATTAATAATGTTAAATTCAGTAATCCTAATCCTAGTTACCTTAGTTATTATATAAAAAAAGAAATGTCTAATTTATCAACTTTTTGTTATTGTTAAATGCCAATACCCACTTGTAAATTATATGAAAAACGTTCGCGCTGAAAGTAAGAGTACCTGACATTCCGCGAAACCAAATATGAACAAAAGTAAAGTGAAAATTCAATAATAACCTCACATTCAAGTTCGTCACCGCAAATATCGCCAGTAGCTAGCAAACAAACTCTCTTCTTTTCTCGATTCTTTTACATCTCTTTATGGTGTTAAAGTCAATTAAATATTTGCTACATAGAGATAAATTAGTCAGGGAACAAATGCCTTTTAATTAGTAAAATATAAATAAACATCAATATCATCAGTGTAAATCGCAAAATACGTAACTCCACTTTTTTCTGTAATGTTGATTATAACTCCATCTAGTACTAAAATGGCAGATTTGCCGTCTGAAAAATGCCTATTTTATTCATCCAAATTACAATATTTCTCATAAAAACAAATTCAGTTCTAATAAGCTCAATGGTTAGTTTTTTGGCTCTCCTGTAAAATTTTCCTAAATAGAGTTACGCACTTTGCGATTTACACTGACGATATGGAGTTTCTCAAATACACCTATTAAATAACTAAAAGTTCTTGGATTCATGTAAAGTTTTTGAATATGTGATCTTAAAGTAGTACGAACATTGTTTGAACGTTTTAGTCAAAACTTGAGAATCTCATTTTAGTGTTTCACTTTAAGCATTTGGTTGGATTTTGCAAATGGTGTCTCCAGGTTTGGGAAGTAATAACATTATAGGCAAACCAAATATCGATGCTCAAATGTTTTAAAGCAATTATCAAGTGCTCTGTGGCATTTAACTACTCATAACAGGTACAGGTAAACTGCATATAATATGGTGCCTTTTGGTCGATCGATTCAAATGGGGAAAGCGAAATTGTACGTTTCGTTTTCTAAAGAATGCTGAAGTAATTAGGGTCATTTAGAAATAGTTGGTAAAAATGCAATGTATCTCCTAATGATGTCATATCATAGCTGGTAACATTCCAAACTTGTCCCAATACCAAAAGTATTGGTGGCGTATTTATCTACGATAGTATGACAAATAATAGTGACATCTGACATCGTTGTTATGGTAACTTGCTCCGTATAGAAACATTTACAAGTTATTCTATCAACTTTGTTTTGTAATCACGAC